CCCGGATCCGCGGCTCCCTGGCGGCCGCTGCCTCCTCCGCGCTCTAGCTCTGCCCTGAGCTCTGAGCTGCGGGAGTTCTGGGGCCTCTCCGCCTTTTTTTAGGGGATTTGTGTGTGTGTGTTGTAATAAACCTTGTTATGTGATTGTTCCCGAAAATAAGAATGGGTTTGGAGAGGAGCACCAGGTGACAGACGCTTTATAGCTCGGGAGTGTCTTGCGAGGACTGTGCCCTTCCGGGGACAGCGCAGCTGCTCCTGGTGCTGGGGGGATTGCCAGGCGGTTGTTTTCCTGTGTTAAAGCAGCTCATGCTCTTTATGTTTAGCATAAACTGCAGGGATGGACATTGCATAGAAGGCCTCTCTACATTTCTTATTGAATATTTAGTATTTAAGGCAGTGTATATTAATGCTTTATTTGCTTTTATGCATCTTATTATCTAATATGAAACCAAAGTCTTAAAGGAGACCGTGTTGTTGCACTGAGGCGCATCCCTCCCTACATAACCAAAGTTACCTTATTCTGATGGGAACCCACCTTCTGAAATGCAAGAGTTTTTTTTCTCAGCCCAAACATAAACAATTATTATTATCACTTATTGTGGCAGGGTCATACAATAACTGTACTACTAAAATTGGAGGAAAAATCTGTAGAGAGCTAGAAACTCTTATTTTTTTGTGTTTTTTTTTTTCCTTTTTGCTGTCTTTGCACTCTGTAGCAGTTTTGAGTCTGTTAAATAACCAGAACTTCTCCCTCAGAACAGTGTTCTGATGGAGATTTTTCTTGGTTAATGACCCGTCTTTTTCCCAAAATAGGACAGTCTTGGTCTGCACTGACATGCACAGATATTCTAGGGATCTGAGCAGAAAGATATGAGGAGTGTTGCTGATGGAAACACAGGGTTTTATCTGTGCTTTTGTGATTTTCCTGTAACACTGATAGAAAATTAAAATCCTATCTGTGAGTGGTACAGTGCAGTTTGGATCGCTTCATCACTCCCTGATTGTGCTTCTCCCAAGGCCAGGCTTTGCTGTTACACTTATTTTTGGAGTGCATTTTCAGTGATATGAATTTACTAAAATTGCTTCAGGAGAGGATGCTCTAGAGAACTCTACCTTTGTGAATTTCCTCAGATTCAGATCTGATCTTTCTTGTGCTTGCTTTAGAGCTGGCAATATAAGGATACTAGGCTTGTTAGACGTATACATAAAAGTGGATTTTGACAAATATGATCAAATATGATACTTGGAGCACATATGTTATTGCTGATAGCTAGAGTTTGCTGTTCATGTTAACACTGTTCTTCAAAATTAGGGGGTGTTTCTTGTCACTTAGGAATGAACATGTTGTGGTAAAAGGGTTGCACTTGTTCCTTCTAAGCGCTAAAATGTTTTTTTAAAAAAATCTCTATTTACATAATTAATTCAATGCTAAAGTGTAGCATTACATTCATTTTCAGGTAACTGTATATGGAACACAGTTGTCATCAGAAGCTTGCAGAGAACTGGGCTTCTCCAGTAACTTGCTCTGCAGTTCTTGCAACCTTCTGGGACAATTCAGTCTGAATCAGTTGGATCCGTTCTGCAGGCAGTGCTGCCAGGAGGAAGCTCAGCTGGAGTCCAGAAAGGTGAGTTTTGGACCTCTGTAGAATATTTTAACATATAATGTGAAATTGATGGGTTGTGTTTTATGCATAAAAACTTGGATTATAATCTCAAGTGGAAAATGCAAGTTTTCTTCATAGTCCAAAATACACAGGGTCTAGATTTGCAGGCTTGCCATATTTCTTGCTCCAAAAGAAGTCCCAAATTGAGCAGAGGGCACCATTGATGCTGTGATAGCCCTTCTGTGTTAGGTAGTAATTAATGGGAGCTGTGTCCAGTTTTTCATGTTGAAAGATGCAAGGGATATGAAAAGGATAGAAATACAGGATAATAAGAATGGACTTACTGATCACAGCTGTTGCACAGCCATTGACCCATATTGTAATAGCCAAAATTCTATAGACAATGAGAGCAAAACAAATAAATCATTGAACAGACACACTTGGATTAATAAAAGCAGAAGACTAAGCACAATTATTTCTGTTATTAAGGTCCGACAATTTTAAGTTTACCTGTTAACTTCCTTTCGTAGGAGCCTAACAGAAACAGCTCTTCTCACCTCCTTTCTGCAGTGCAAGGGTTATAACAGCTAGAAATAAGGTACTAAGCAAGAAAGAGTACTTGCACATCTCTTGAAAAGAATGCATACTTTCAAATACATTTTAAGAGTTCTCTAGAACTCTGAAGTTCTAGACTCTTAACTCTTAAGTTGGTGGTAGAAGACCACTTTAAAGAGTAGAGAAATCAAGAAGTTTTATTGACATTACTGTTAATGGTTAGGAGGGCAGATAAATAACTGACAACATGAAATGAATGAGGAAATGTAGTGGTTTTCTCATGTTAATCAAATTCAGCACAATAAAAAGTCCGTCAGTTTTAAAATATCACTAACTACAGTGTTGAATAGAACATAGTAGATATCAAAAAGCAAATGTTTGAGAATTCTGAAAAACAAGTAATTGTTAGTTCCTATTAAAAGTAAGGTACTGGAAGATAATTAAGGTGAGAGTTATGCTTCTGTGGAGGCTTAATCACACTGTTTGATATATCAACAAAGGAAACTTTGCAGTAATATTTCAGTACTACCATTATGTGACTTGACATCCAAGACTTTCAAGAATTTCTCCTTGCCAGGTAAATGAATTTTGTAAAGGAAAATTTAATGTTATCTCTGGAAAATGCTCCAGTTATATATGAGTGTATGTGTGTATAAGTAGTGATGGTACTTCCTGGCTTCTCCTCAAAGGGGGGAGGCACTAATATTTGCTCAGGTAGTGATCCTGAATTTTGCCTCAATGTGTAGAATGTACCATGAGACCCGGTGGAGCAGGATAATTAATATTGTCATTTGTTGGGAAGCTACCGGAGATGTGTTGGGTTTTTGTCGATATGATTTCTTTTGAGGCAAAAAAAAAATCATTCCACCATCAATTTCAGTAATTTACTCAGATGTCTCTTATTTCATATTCTAAACATTGTTGCATTAATAAACCTTGAATCAAAGGTCAGAGTTTAAGTAGGTTTTTTTTTTCCTAGTTATGATGAATAAGACTTAGATTTCTTCACATGCTTGTGCAAGCTGTTTGTGTAAAATTGATCAAATTCTGTTTTGGGATCAGGCCCTACATTAGAAATATTTATTTCAAGATATTTTTACTTTTTAGTCATTCCAAATGTAGTTGACTGAAGGGAGTGCTGGGAGGAGGGTCTGTAGGTTGTTTGACATATCTCTTCAGGGCAAGCCAGGTCTTACTGTATTTTCAGAGGAAATGTAGAGATTGTTTAATTAGAGATTGTTAAAGTTTGCTTTTTCTAACGTATTTGTGTTGGACTCTGTAGCAAACAAAACAGCTCAGTATGTTTCGTATCCTGGTCTTATTCTTAGTCCAAAATTCTGTGAATTGACATTCCAGAAAATAGCAAAGAGATGCCCTTGTTATCTGGTATTTTCCTCATTCTAACTTCTGCTGACATCTGTCCCATCAGATGTTTTAATTACTTCGTAATTTTGCTATAGTTAAACAAACAGAAAAAGGCATATTTTCTCTTCTTCTGGAAACTTTGCATTCAGTTTAGGACTAATTCAGAAGCTAGGTTAAACAGTATTGCTTTTGACAGCTGCAAGTTTTCAAGTCTGTCAGCTGCAGAGTACTGCTGGTGTGTAAAATGTAGAAGGATGAAATGGAGGTGAAGGTAACTGTGCGTGAAATTGTAGTAGCAGGAGGGATTGTCCATATTTGGCAGTAGCTGAAAATAGCAGCACTCCATCTGCAGGTTCACTTACTCTGTGTGATCATTTCAGACATACATATAAGCATATCTTATTAACTGTATATTATAATCTTCGCTTTATCTGCGACAATGTATTAGTGTCAAAATGCAATTTGATTTTAAGGATCAACCATGCGATGAAATCTGCAATGTATTCCGTATCAGTAGTTGTAGTGTGCAGGATTTCTACAACTCTTAAGTCATCAATATGATTTCTAAATTGAGCTTGTAATGTATTTTGCACAGTAAGGTGTGTTGAATTTTAAGTTTCCACAATCAGTATTTGCAATATGGTAACGTTATGCAGTTTGGTGAATTGCATAACTTGACATCAAGTATAGGCAAAAGTTTGCCAAGCAATCTGGGGCATTAGAATACATGGTTGAGGTGGCTAATTGTCATGGGTGACATGGGTATATGATTTTGCAGCAAAACAGGATAAGCATTGATGCAGAAGTCTATATGCATGATTCTAAAGTCATTCAAGGATGGACAACTGCTCCATTGTAGTTTAGCAAAACTTGTGAAATCCTGATGTCACAGAATGAGTGGTGGTGGGGGTGAGTGACACAATGCACTTCACTCATGGGAAAGAAATAGGAATAGGTTTTATTGGTAATGACAATGGTTTCATGAGGTTCTATGGCAAGGTCACTTATTAGTTACTGCGTGGAGGTTCAAGATACACACAGAATTACCAAGGACACCCTCCTGTTGGGTCACAGGGTTCAGATTGGACCCCCTTGCTTTCCAAACTCCTTCTGAGAGGAGTCTGGGTGCGGCTGGATCCAGTCCTAGTCCCAGACCTGGTCAACGGTTTATGTCTAAGGGATTTGTGCACAGTTGCAAAGTAAAGTTTACAAATTCAAAAAGAGAAAGGCACACTATAGTCACTTACCGCGAATCTGCAGTGGGAAGGATCTCTAACCTCGAGGAGTATCCTTGAGAGGCATCCCTGCTCAAGGGGAGATCCTGGCATGCAGGCCACTGCCATGCAAGGAGAGCTCAGTGGGCTCTTGGGCTGTCCCCGTATTTATAGGATAAGATGATTGACTGACAGTCATTCTTTCAATTCAGAAATGACTGTTGGCTGGTGTACCTGCTTAGCCTTATCTCCCCATCAGGATAGGACCATCAGGACTGTTATTGGTGGTTAATGTCTGGGTGGGGGAAGGAATCAGGGAGGCAGCTACCAGGATCAGATGATGTGGTAGTTAACACCTGAACAGGGCTACCTGTGAAAAGTCAGGATGAGCTGGGGAAGGAGCATGTCCATCACACCTGAGACTTTTAGCATTTTTTTTTCTCTTGCTCATATTCAGGTCAAAACATGATAAAATGTCAAAGTATAGTTTAGTAATTCATTAGAATATTTACCCTAGCCTAGAACATTGCTAGCATCATTAGAAATTTAGAGTTACTAAAATTAGAGAACTACTAAACTTCCTGACAGCTCAATCTTATCAATATACATTCTTTCCCCTCCTTTTGTAGATGATACTCTCATTAAATAAAAAATAATAGTGACAAAGCTGTCCTAGATAAGGAACTTAACTAATGGGTCCCTAAGACTTTTACCATCTTTCAGTTGAATCAGATTGACTCAAGGTTCATCTCTGTCACATAAATGAAGATGAAAGGCATTCATACTCTATAGGAGGGGAAGCCCAACCTACTGCAGACCTCTTTCTAGCCCTATCAATGAATGTTAAAGAAGAGGTAACGAAAATGGTACATGCCAGAAATGTGACTTAAAATCAATGTGCATCTGTGCTGGAAGATAGAATAAGTTCAAGTCTGAACTCCTTTCTTCATCTGGATATACCTATCTGTTAAAATAATAAATTAATTAAATGTACAAAGTCAAATAAAAGGTTGATGAGCTCCGTTCTCAATGTTTTCTTTGCAATTCTCATGAAATGCTTTTATAAATAAAAGAATTTCTGAAGAATAGATGTTCAGGGATTTTACTTCTAGAGGTAAGTAGATGGTTACATTGTGAAGAAAATTATTCGGACAGCACACTGCAAAACTGGAACATGAAACCTGCCAACTATCTCAAGATTTTAGCTTACATAGTTCTGTTCGCTAGCCTCAAATGAGAGCACATGAGCTTCAAATGAGTAACACTACAGTTTTGCAGAGGTCTAAATTGCTGTTTGCTCAGCTCTTAAAGGTATCAGTGTCTTTGTCTTTCTTCCACCCAGCCTCATGGCAGATCTTTTGCTTGTCTGACCTTGCATGAAGCCATTTCAGAGTGCTAAGTTAGCAAAAACTCAACTGTTAGGGGATGAGGGTAGCTTTTTCTTTCCTTTTTTCCTCTCTTGTTAGTAGTTTTTAAAGAGCAAAAATATTTATACAACACATCAGAGCCAGTTGTTTAATAACAGAAATAGAATGGTTTTATGTGGATGCCATATTTTCAGCATGCTTACAGTTATAATAATGCACAAATATGCAAGTTTAATCTCTTGTTCAAAGGCAGGCTCAGGGCCATTTCTGGTCAAGCTCTGAAGATCTCCAAGGAAGAAAATCCTATAGCTGTTCCTGGTGACTTATTTCTGTGCTTAACCACTCACATTGTGCTTTTTTTTTTCTTTTTCTTTTTCCCTCCTCATATTCAGCTGCATAGTTTGCTGCAAATAAATCAGAGGCTAGATTCTACATCGGGGTTTTTCAAAAGAATTTCACTATCATAAATCACTCTGGTTACAGAAATAGCTCTTATTCAGACAATACTGTCTTTTGACTATTTGAGTCTTTGTTTCTAGACTTGCATTTAGTTAGGCATCTCCCTGCACAGGATAAGGAGTTGTGAATGAGAGCGGCTCCTTTGTTGCTAGATTTACTGATGACCTCGGCTCTGAATGATCTGTGTGTGCAGCAGTGACTTCATTGGCTCTATGCGTTACAGAGCAGTAATTCATAATGCTCCTGGCAGTAGGCTTTCTGACTCGTGCTCTGTTAATCTGCAGATTCTTCTCAATTTTTGTCTCCAGGGAAGACTAGAGTGACTTTTGTCAAGTTCTCACCTTCCATATGAATAACCTAAGTTCTCTCCCCTTTATGAAATAAAATATTAACATATTTTGAAATTTGGTCTAGTAAAAATAACAATTGAGTAGATGTACTAGATGTAAGACTTCAAGAAACAGGAAAAAAATGTACCAAAATCCCAGAAGAACAAATATCAATTGCTTACCTGCCTGTTTGCTATTTGGGGATGGGTGAAGGGGACACAATTAATTTAAATTCACGTTTAAAAGGAGGTAATAAGCTCTGTGCTAAAACAATACCTGTCCACACATACCAAGCAACCCTGCTAATGAGAACAGCAGTAGTCATGTTCATCCTGACTTTATTTATTGATTTGTTTTTATTTTAAGATTAAAAAATGGTGTGAGTTTACCTGATGAATGGCCTTTTTTTTTTTTTTTTTTTTTGGGTCAGACTGGCTTAAATAGTACTGCAAAATTAAGATTTCAGTGAATTTTTTAAAAACAGATTGTTCATGCTTGAAAGAGATTAGCCGTTGGATAAATATTTAGTGGGAGTTTGTCTTGTAATTGAGGCAAGTGACAATTACAGGGTTTTAGCTATAGGGATAATTCGTGCTTTTCTGTTTTCTTAGAGCTTAACATTGTTTTTAAACGGTTCGATATTAGGAAAGGAAAATGTGTAGGTATGGGAGAGAATTGAGATACCCCAAGACAGCTGTTTGTCGGTGTGTGGCTTTATCTTAGCACCCCCTTTGGTTGCACGTTCTAACGCGTTCCAACGGGACAGTTGGTATAAACATGGCACCCAACGATGATCACGGGGCAACCTCTGAAGTGGCAGCTCTTCCGTTCTGCTTGATGTGAATTCCTGCGTGGCTGTGAGCACTAACTGTTCTACAGCAGCTGCAGTGTTTTTGTTTTTTTTATATATGTTTCTGTGCAGTTCCCATAAATAATTGTGATTACAGAACATGCTTATAAATGAATCACTGCTGGAATTTCATGCAGGAATTAGTTAATTCCCTTCCTAATAACAGGTGAAATCTTAGTTTTCTCTCACCTTAATCAAGATTTCTTGTTTTTAATTGGTGGAACAGATACGTTACAGATTTTTACCTAACACTGTTATTGTGTAAATGGTGTTTTGTTTTATTACAACTTATCACTTTTCCTTTAGTGGTCATGTTTGCCTTAATGATGGTGTGTTTTTCTTCCTCTGAAGAGGATGGCTCTTCTGAAGAACCATCTTATTTACAAATAAAAATAGTCTGATTTTTTTGGTACTTCCAGAAAACATTTGAGTGCAATTTAACCAAAGGTGATGCTTTATGAAAGATGAGGGCAAAGTTCAGACCCTGTCATGGTAGCCTTGGGAAGCATGCTGTTGGAATGCCTCACACAAGCCAAATTATTTTTGTGGATGCAGACATGAATCAGCCTGAAAACCATAACAGGACTTATTGTAGATGTTGAAGTGGACACCAGCAATAGTTTGAGAGCCTTGAATTCATTTCTTATAGTACTAAATTGTCTTTCATGAGCTCTAAAACAAGAGAAGCATTATTCTGAAATGAGCTGACTTATAAGTATTGTGCACTGAACTGGTTTGTGCTATTTGCATGTCTGCACACTGAGTGGTACATGTCATTGTTAGTAATATGGAACCAAAGGCAGTTTGCAGGACTTCTGCTATGCTCGTGATGGGATCATTGCAGCAATCAGTAATAACAGGCATACTCTTGTGAGCTTTTGAAGTGATGCAGATAAACTCGTGTTTCTTGCAAAAGACACCTTTGTTTGGAGTTATAAATGAAGCTTTCTTCATTTTTGTCTAGCCATCTAGTGAGACAGCATAGAGCAGCTGGTTCTCTCTGCATGAATCTGAGCCCTTTTGTATCGGCACAGTTGGGCTCAACTGTAGCAGATTTATAAGCTCAGAATATAGACATCAGTGACTGACCTGTTTGTGTTGTGAAACCGCTATCAGTTACCGGCTAGGAGTTATAAATGGGGAGGGTTTTTTTTTGTTAAAGCGAATCTTGCATATTGGAGACCCTTGCTTCCATAAAATCCTTGTTTGAAGGGAAGACATATACTGTAAGAATAACACTTGCAGTGCTGAGAACTAAAAAATGGTCACTGTTATCGTAAATATTTAGCTCTCTACACACATATATAAAAATAATCAATTAAAGTGGTTAAGGAAAGGTTCCGTATTCCTCTGACTACTACTACTTCATAGAAAAGTGAAGACTGGTGTCAATAGCATAGAACCACTATACAAGTTCAATCTATTAGTGAACTTGCAATTTCTGAATCTAGGTTTGTTGATAGAATTAACTGTGGGGTTTTTTGTCTTTATTATTTTTTTAAAAAAAACATTGAATAGGAACAAGGTAAGCAAAGTTTGTAATGACATGAGTTAAACTTTTATCCGTCTTTGTTGCCATTCTTTTTTCCTTTTTGTTTTTTTATCAAGTCTGGAGGCACTTCAATTTTGCAGGCTGGTATCTGACGTTAGCTATTTATCAGTGGCTTTGTAATTAAAAACTCTATTTGAGGGTAAAAAAAAATCTTTAAAATCTGTTATTTTTAATCTCTCAAGTGCTCAAGTGTTGCTTCATAGAAAAGTTATGGGATTCAACAATCAAATTTTAGTTTTTATCTTAAATCTAGTGTTCAGTTGAAAATGTTAATGTAGTTAAGCACATTTCTGAGATGCTGTTCTGAGCAGATAATGCAGACTAATACTTTTAGTTCCATTTCCTGGGGATGTAATGATACCAATTAGTTCAGGTCTGGCAAGAAGTCATAATTTCCCAGCAAATGATTAGAGCATTTGATGTGTTCTGATCCGTAGTACTTAAGCAAATGTTGAATTTGACCTGAATTCAGAAGATTGATATTCCCGAGATAGAAATGTATTTCTGGCTGTCTGTAATACCTAGATAGATCAGTGATGAAGTTTAAATAAAAATGTCTTATTTTGAGGTCTCTGCCATATTGTATCTGGTTTACTTTTATGACTTGTCACTCCTTGTTCAGAAGTGCTAATACTCATTAAATTTCACTGTAGAAATTTAGTTTTAATTACATGAATTTACGGCTCATATTTTAAGTGAAATGTGAGTTTTCCTTGATTTTAATAAGGTTGTATTTTTTTTCCTTGTCATGCACATGTATTACAAAAACAATCTAAAGGAAAATGGGAGCAGGGGCCTTATTTACAGTATGTGATGAATTGGATTAAAATTTTTTAACTGCAGCTTATTCTGCCAGCTCTTGTGCAAGCAGAAGAGTTTCACAGTTGGAAGGACATTACTTGGTAGATGCTATTGCCAGCTATATGCAAGATAAGTGTTAAAACACCTAGCTTTGTGCTGTGCAGTTCTGTTTTAGAGCAGGAACAATCTGTTGCTAACTTACAGTTAGATTCAGCAAACTATGGAATCAAATCCCATTCCTATATTGCTTTCCCCTCCACCAGCCCCCAGAAAATAAAATGTTAAAAGCTAGGCCTATGCAAAATCGATCAGGTTGGTTTAAATAATCCTCAAATTGAAATGATCTTAAGAAAAATGAATGCTAGCATCTTAGAGGTTGTATTTTTTTTCCTTGTCATGCACATGTATTACAAAAACAATCTAAAGGAAAATGGGAGCAGAGGCCTTATTTACAGTATGTGATGAATTGGATTAAAATTTTTTAACTGCAGCTTATTCTGCCAGCTCTTGTGCAAGCAGAAGGGTTTCACAGTTGGAAGGACATTACTTGGTAGATGCTATTGCCAGCTATATGCAAGATAAGTGTTAAAACACCTAGCTTTGTGCTGTGCAGTTCTGTTTTAGAGCAGGAACAATCTGTTGCTAACTTACAGTTAGATTCAGCAAACTATGGAATCAAATCCCATTCCTATATTGCTTTCCCCTCCACCAGCCCCCAGAAAATAAAATGTTAAAAGCTAGGCCTATGCAAAATCGATCAGGTTTGGGGGTTTAAATAATCCTCAAATAGAAATGATCTTAAGAAAAATGAATGCGAGCATCTTACCTAGCTGGCTGAAGTGATTAATACCTGAGCACAAGCATGACAGTTAGCTCAGCCTGTGGATATTGCTCCAACTAAGTCCTGCTCATGTGATCTACCCTCTTTCTGCATACATGTGTTTAGTAGTTAGCCCTAGTGAGATCGGAAGCCTTGTATTTATTATGAACAGTATTTCACTGTCTGAAGTTAGACTTAAAATAGAAATTAAAATTTCACCCAATGAGAACTTCCTAGTGTCTTTGGGGAGAAAGAAATAAAGCTTTCTTATTCCTAGTCCATAAATTCCCTTTGCAGGCACCTGAAAAAAAAAACTGCACCTGCAGTTTTTTAGAATGTGAAATTGAAATGTTACTCCCAACAACAGTATTTCAGCTGTTGTAAGCATTACTTTTTTAATACAGTGATTGGCAATTACTGTATATTTTGAGTGAACAGTCATTTGTGGTTCTGTTTAGTATCTTAATTATCCCAGTAGTTACCATCAATAAAATAGTACACACTCTCCTCAGAGACAGTAGTTCAGTAGATTACATGTCGTAAGTAACCTAGTAATATATACTTTTTATTAACAGTTTCTGTATATAATTACAGCTTTATGCAGGAGCTGTCCTAGAGGTGTGTGGATGAAAATTGGGAAGGTTCCCTCAAGTCCAGGGTAAGTAAAGCCACTGTTGTTTTCAATATATGAAATACTGTCAGAGCTACAAATGTGTTTTTTAAATACCGTTTACAAGTAGTCTTTTCACACATTGTACTGGGAAGGTTTCAGTGACCTGAGGCTGTGGGTCCTATTCTTCAGTAATCTTTACATACACATCTTTATGGCCTGCCCTTCGAGCTGCTTTCTTCTGCGAGATCCTGCACATGTTTGGCCTGGCAGCAGGTAACGACTGTCACCAGAGAGACTGGAACACAGTGGTGCAAGAGGGAAACTGGTGCCATCAGTGCAGGGTGGGAGGCAGTCTCAGGAGGAAAAATCTGTGAGAAATTCCAGCGTGGAACTTTAAGTGGGCCAAGAACTCACAGGTGATAGCACTACTTTGTTTTGTTTTTTCTTTTGTTTTGTTTTCCCCTAGTAGTGTATTTCCTAATGCAGTATTTAGTGTAGGTTGAACATAAGGAGAAAGGACTGATCTAGCTTTAGAAATAAAATTGCACAAAAAGTGCATCTCCATCTACCATTGCCAGGCTTAATATCACCCTGTTTTGCAGGCTGCCTGATGAACAAATAAAAAGAGTTTTAAAACAAGGTTACAATTACCATAAGTCACTTTACCCTGTATGCTCTCCTGCCACCCCTTTCCACAAACAGTTCAACTAGTTGTCAGCATTACTAGCAGAAGGATATTTTCTGTTCCCTGGCATTTAAAACACCAAAACAAAAACTATTTAAGGGCTTTTCCTGCTTTAGGGGCAGGAGTGAAGATATTAACATGGTGACCTGTAATCTCCAAATGTCCATTTAAATTTAGCAAAGATAAAAACATTCCCAGATGCTGTTGCCTGTTTACCCAGCTTCTTTGTGGACCTGCATCTGTAAGAGTTACATGCTCTTTGAGTTTGCCTGGGTTGAGGTTGAGGTTTGGGGGGGATAAAGTCAAGCTGTTCGTCTGGCTTCGGGCTCCACCAAATTCTCAGTGATCTTTGCATATTGATTCTAGAAGGGCAAGGCCCTTAATTTTTGCTCTGTGTACAGCACTTGTTCCAAAATAGCATAACATGCTTAAAACTTACAGTACAAAAAGAAAAAATTGAAAATATAGCATTTTCCTTGCTTTTCTGAATCTGTTCAAAGATTTAAATTCAACTAATCAAATTGCTGGCTTTAAAAAAAAAAAAAAACAATGAGTTTCAGTGGATGTCAGTAGTTTTTCTGCTTTGACTGCAAGATTTGGTCAGTATAGTGAGAAGGAAGGCAGGACTGACTGGTACACTGAACTACCTCAATTTTCCTCTTCATCACCAGTTTCTCTTGCTGAGGTTTACCACTACTGTATCAGAATAGATTGGAAGATGTCTAGGAGTATATTTAGAAATACAAAATATTTCTTCAGCTGCTGTTCACCTTCACACTAGTATTAATTTGAAAATACTTTTGCTTAGTTTTTTTTCCTTGATTTTTACTTCTACTAAAACAATATTTAATGAATCCATCTTAGAATATAACATTGGAGAACTGTTTCTGTTTCTGCTTTTCACTTGGATGTTACAGCAGTTAGGCTGCCTGAAGGTCGTGTGGCTTCTTGTGAAGCACTGTCTTTGCAGGCTTCATTGAACTGTGTAGTTTGTCATTGTCAACATGTCATTGCAAATACTTCTTCTTTGATTCCTGCCTCACTGCTCCCACTAGGATTTTATTTCCTCCCTTGCAGAATACACACAAAATGGCAGCACTAATTGCAGGACTGGACTGTGTGTGCATTAGAACTGTGTGGATTAGCATATGTTATTGCTGTATCTGACCTTCAGGTCATCTTTAATACTTCTGTAGGATGTTTTGCAGCTTAGCTTACTCCCACAAACTTGATTTGTTGCAGACTTGTCCTGAATTACATTTCATTTGGAAGGAGGGTGAACAGTGTTTTTTATAATGGAGTTCGTAACTTAAAGTATTTGAGGAGTAAAATCCTTAGAATTAATAGAAGTTCATAAAATTTGCACAGAAAGGGAGGACAGTCATGGTTATCAAATGCAACATTCTGTGGTAGTTACATATCAAAAATTCCACCAGAATTACTGGTTATATAATTTTTATCCACAAATAGTGTTTGCCTATGCCTCAAAGTGAATATAAACATTTCTGTGTATATATTACAGGGAATATATTTATTGATACTGAGCAATAAGACAATAAGTGACAAGCAAAAAATCTAGTCCTCAGCCAGATACTTTCAATCTGTTTAAATAGAAAATTGTTCCTTGTAATATCATTTCAGACTGTTAAATGCTTTTGTGAGTATGGCCAAGGACATCTGTTATCATTTTCAAATATAGGTTGGTATATAACAGTCTGGTAAAAAAACTACACGTCTGTAAGTCTGTTTAATATGCTCTGTTATAGGGCAGTATAGATGCTGTACTGTAAAATTAATCCCTATATTATATATAGTTAGATTTTTTTCTCTGTAAAACAGCTCTTAAACTTCTATCATTTAAAAGCACTGCATCAAAGTAGACCATTGAAAACATAAAAGACAAGATTTGTGGAGGAAGCGACATCTTATGGGATCAGCTAACACAAAATCTAGCGCTGTTCCTAGCTGACATGCGGAAGGCTAACGGTGTGTGGCCGAATGCTGAATTAATGGGGCCACCGACTAATCAGGTGCATTTGTTTAAGCTGACTCTTGAACAGCAGCTGTTTCCTGCCCCTGACGAGACACGCGGTGACGACGTCCCGTCTCGTGCCTGCTTTGCAGCTGCTTTAGCACAGACTGCCCGGGCTGGGTCTGTCGCCGAGCTCTTCCCTTGCGTTGCCCTGCTGCCTTCCACCTCTCCGCGTGACTCAGTTAAGCAGTGAACCTGCTATGGAAACAACGTTCCTGACCGTGGAACCCCACGGCATGCAGCTCCCTTAGCTCCCTAACTCACTTAAGAGGGTTGCTAAGCACTGTGTTGCTCAGGTTCCACGAGTGTGATGGGATTCTTTTAGTTGCCAAAAAAAACTTGCCATAGGACTGTACTGTTAGGTGAGATTATTTCCTGATTATTTTTATCTGTAATTCTTAAATATGGGTGAAAGGTTACAGAGCTATACTGGGCTAAATCTGACATTTTGTAGAAAAATTACTAAAATGCTTAGCAAGATATTTAGGATGCTGCAGAGAGAGAAGTGGGAGTTATTACATGTGCATTTTTTATAATTGCAAGTAGATGATATGCAAAGTAAATTTGATACAAACATACCAATTTCACATGAATGTTCTGTCCTAAAAATAGCACTCTTCTGTTCCTTTGGTTTTGATTGTTTTTCTTTTCCATGGCTTTACTTAAAAATCTGCAACATTCTGTAATAGCATTCAAGCAGTTGTGGCTAGCAAAATGATTGTTTTGCTTTCAAAATGCTTGAATCCAATAATTCGGGGCCCAATTCCATGTAGTGCTTAAGCCAAGTACCTCTGATGTCGTTGGTTTATTCTAATGATTGAGTTACCCTTGTGTCCTCTGTTTATTTAAATTAACTCCTACCAACAACCATTTATATGCAATCTTAGATGTACTTTAATCTTCCTCTTGTGGGTTAGTATCAGGTCACTTCAGTTATTCCCTATGCCTTATTTCATGTACATTTAGGCCTTCTTTCTTTTGAGTTTTAAAAATATGAATTGCATATGCAGCATTCAGAGTTATACAAAAGACAATGCTAGTTTGCAACAATAAATTAGTCCTTTGAAAGACAGTAATAACTCAGATTCTTCTATACTGTAAATTAGATTCTTGCTAGAAGACATGCCATAGTTTATCCAGAAGCAAAAAGTTGGCAATAAAAACTTATTTTCTACATTATGCTAAAGATTGGATTAGTTGTCAATTTTTGTTGCTGCTTTCCTGGCATTCAAATCTAAATCTGATAGAGTTACTTAATGTCTTCGAAGCCTTTCTGACTCAAGGCTATTAGGGTCCTGCTGATGTGTGTGTAGATAAGCGATGTTCAAAAAACACTTGTCTCTGCAGAGCTGTTGTTTGAAGACTAGTGTGAAATTTATTTGCCATTGTATATTGGCTTCCTCATTCAAATATTAAGAGATGTATTTTTTTTTTCTTCGATATCTAGCCCCAGGTTCTTTCATTCGGCCTTTTTTTTCCAGTTACAGATCAAGCAGGAGATCTTTCCTCCTAAACAAAGGTTGTAAAGAGTGCTAACATTGCTGAACATCGGCATCCTTGGCAGTCTGGGTCATGCTATCAGTAGGTAACACCAGGTAGTCGAGCCTGCTGGCAAAGGGCTTAGGCCGTGCACGTAGATCTGAAGCTTATTAGAGACAGATCGAGAGTCTTATTATGAGTCAGAGTTTTTTTTAAGTGGTCTATCCTGCTAGACCTCAGCTGGAATAGCACAGAGGTGTGTGCATGCGAATCCACGGGCTTCCAATTTGGGATACTTAAATTTCTTGGGAGTCTTCATGTAAGATTCCAGGTTCTAACCCCAGCAGACTGGCGCTCGTGGCCTTCCTCAGAACTGAGGGACACTATCAGGCCAGCCAGGAGATTTCCCTTGTGCTCTGCTCCTCGGCAGAGGTTGCTCTTAGTTCCTTCAAAGCGTTACTCAGGGCTGGGCTTTCTTTGCAGGGCAGTATCCATGCACACTTAATCCTTCTTTCCCTCTCATTGTTGGCAAGATGGCCTTGGAGAGCTGCTGGTAGCCCCTCTAGTGCTTGGAATAACCCTCTGGCTTGTCTTTTGAGGACAAGCTTTAGGGAAATCTGGCCGCTTAACTATGAGCCTGTGTTCTGCACAGCAATCTAGTCTGCTTTGGAGGCACACATTAGGATTGCCTTCGAACTGCAGGCACAACAGCATATGGTAAAGTGATTTTCTTAAGATTGCGATAGGACAGTTGCAAAGCTAGTGGTAGAGGAGGTCTGAATTAGAGGAGGATAGCATTTAATTGAAACAGTGTTGTAGCACAAAGTTCAGAGTTCGTATCACAGAAGTCAAAGTGGAAAATTCCTTTCCCTTTCACCCATGGATTATATAACTTTTTTAGTGTATAATATCTAAAGCAGCTGCAGGGAGAGGAAGACTGGAGGATGGCTGGGATTGTAGTATTAAACATAAGGCTATTAATGATCATATAAAAATATGCAGGAAGCCCTTAGGCAGGATTATAGGAAGCAACAGTGTTAATGTTGGGGTAGAGAGGGAAGAGCGTTGGGGCTTTGCTGAACACGTTCTGCACAGCACGTGGCACAAACAGCTGCATCTCCCAAACGTGCTCTGGGGCCGTGGCCGACTTCCGAACCCCATCAGCTCTATTCAGAGGCTGTGCTCAACTTGAGCATCATTCTGTGAAAGATCGAGTGCTTGACAAGATAGTGTGCATTTTTAACAAACGTCAGTATTCTTGTTTCTCACTTCAGCTTCCAAAATTTAGAATATGGAAATTAAGCTGCTTGTAGAGTGACTGTTGCTTGTTGTTGAATCACAGAAATTCAAGCGAGTAGTGCAGAAAGTCCCTATGATCAGCATTAGGAATAAATATATCAATAGCATAAAATAATTTTGTTCCAGCTGTCTAGAACTTTAGCAAAAATGTTCCATAGTGTTTCAGCTTTCAGTAGATTTAGACATTTGACATGGATACAAGTGTAATAGCTACTTTTAAAGTGACAGAAGGTAATAAAACCTATAAAAGAATTTATTCTTTTACCTCATTCTGTGCACACTTTATGCAAGTTTGTTCCCCCTGCAGCAATGCAGCCAGAGTGGCAGCCACTCGTGTCCAAATGAGCTTTTCTGTGTCACTTAAGGAACAAATCCTCACACCTGTTAAAAGCCTAAAGTGCTGTAACCCAAGCTACCCCCTAAAGACTATTCTTTAAATGTGGTTGAGTTAAACATTTCAGCTTCTGAAGCTGTATCCCTTTTGCTATGCTGCCTTACCACTTTTTTTTTTGAAGCTTTATAGTTAAGTTACCCATTCTACTCACTTTGGGCAACTTCTGTTTCATATAAAGCCTTAGAGATTCATTTCACATTTCAGCTTTAGGTTTGAACTGGGGAGAAGGGTGGGGGGGGAAAGTGGAAGAACCCCCTGTGAAAGTAGTCTGGCTTGCTTGAGAGAGGAGGGGAAAAAAGTAGTAGTAGTAGTAATAATTTTAAAAAAAAAGAAGTTATTGCTACTCACTTTGGGCAACTTCTGTTTCGTATAAAGCCTTAGAGATTTATTTCACATTTCAGCTTTAGGTTTGAATTGGGGAGAAAGGGGGGGTGGGTGGAAGAACCCCCTGTGAAGTAATCTGGCTTGCTTAAGAGAGGAAGGGAAAAAAGACAAGAAGTAGTAGTAATAATTTTAAAAAAATAGTTATTGCAACTTCACTGCATTTTACTACTAATGACAGTTAAGACAAATAACAAGTCACAAGGAGATGGGAAACGCTAATGTTAGGAATGATCTGTCTTTATGAGTTTAATGAAACTCACATTCAGTATATGAGCAAGTCCTGGTTACTTCAACTTTGCACGCAGTCGTATTTGCATTTTGGTGTCAGGCTATATGCTGCACAGATGTGCGTATGCAGTGGGAGCCTCTGCCTCTTCTGCAGGGCGTTAGTGCAGGCAGGAGCTCATGGGGCCCCTGGTATTGGCCCCGGTGGTTGGTGCAGTGGAAGGTGGAAGAATGTATCAGTCTGACCTGTAATGGGTGCCTGGGGAGGAGAGGAGGAAATAAATGTTCCTCTGTATATGCATATACACACCGAGAAAATACTATGGTAGGCAGCAACAGCAATGCGAAGGTAGGTATAAAGATGCTGAGACATCTTTACAATCATTGAGGAAACTGCTACATTGTATGAGGCAGCATATGACGTTTTAGCTGTGAGTTGCATTCGCTTCCATGCAGGGTCAGGATGCAGCTGCAGTTTGGGGGAGACTTTGTTGTTTTAGCTTCAGGGGGCAGCTTCAGCATGCAGGCAGCATCTCTGCAGTGTCAGCCCATGCCGACAGGGATGGCTCTGGGGGAGACGCTGCAGGCAAACTAAGAGAGGGTCCTGCATTCACTTAATGTCACTACAGATACTAAATGCAGCCTTAAAAAAATACCATAGTGTTAATTTCTCCTTCTTGCTTTCAAGTTATTGTAAATAACTTCCAAGTATTTTAGAACTCGGATGTTCGTTAGGCCAAAGAGTGTTTGAAAGCAGAGGATTTATGCTCATGATCTGTCCTGAAATAATTCATATTGCCAGCGTTCTTTCCAAGTCAGTGTCAGCGGGACCTGATGTGCCACGGGAATGCGGGGACTGAGCTGCTGCCGCTCTTGTTTGCTGGGCAGCAGCCCTAGCAAAGAGCTGCCCTCAGCCACCCACCTCAAACCAGCCTGGGCTCCACGTAGCTCTGAGAGGCCCCGAGTCCATCTTAACACTGATTCCTGTGGGGGTTTTTGCAGACAAGATGTACTCTCCTCTCGAGGTTATGCATCTTGTTTTCCAAGATATGGTTTTGAGATGTCTGTAAGACAAAATGGTGTGTCTTGCAAACAAGAGCAGCAACAAGAGCAGCCCCTCTGCCTGCTGCGCGTCACCTTGGCCTGCGCTCGGCTCGGCTGCTGCCTCCCTTCGCCAGGTTCCGGCACCGTTTTGCTTCTCCTCAGGTTAAGTAGCTGTCAACGTGTGGGCCAAACTGTGAAGGGCTCTCAGCTGTAGGTGCCGAGAGACCAATTTAGACAGTCGTAGCACTGTTTGAGAAAAGTCTAAGCATATAAGAAGCTTGTCTGGAAAAGTGGCAAAACCAGGTTTTTTTCCTAGGGCAAAATGTGCTCTAGTATTATTCTTGTGAGGATACTCAAGGGTTTTAGCATTAAAATGACTTTCTAAAGAAAATGACATCATTCCAAAAGAAACAGTCTAACGTACGTTAACTGTAAAGTAAGTCCACTTGATGCAGGTGGAAAAGCACTGATTTGTTCTATTTTGTTTCCTCTCCCCTCTTGTCTCTAAATGGTAGCTTTCGTCAGGAGTGACAAGCCAAAGCTCTTCAGGGGACTTCAAATCAAGGTGAGTAGTAACCCAAGTGGTTTTTATTTGGGATGCTAGGAAGAATAAAACTTAGCAGAAACATCCCTTTTGTGGATCCTTTGTGTGTAAAATGTTTTAGCAGAAGGCAGGTTTGCATTGCTGGTGTAAATTTTTATAAGCCCCTACTGCTAATGTTGTTTGGTACCAATTTATTATTCTTTCTAATCCGGCAAAAAGTATCTGTAAGTAATAGCAGATGGCAAAAGAATGTAAAGAGTATTCCCATCCTGTCCTGATTCTGGAGATATCTTAAATTTATTAGAGCTTCTACTATCACTTCATTCGTGTTCTCCCCTCATTTTCTGATGCAACTCGCACTTCCCATAAGTTGTGATTTGTGTCTCATTTCTCTCCCTTCCCTTCTCCTCCCCTGGTACGGGTCTGTCGCCCTGCCCGTCGCGCCCTGCTCTGCAGGGCAGTCACCAGAATCCTGCACATCCTGCGCGCTCCAAGCGGTGTGAGCTGCAACGCCCCAAGCTCAAACAAGTCTTTGCTGCCCTCTTGGTTTCAAGATCTATCCTAAAACTGCCCCCATCCTCCATGGACTTGAAGCGTTGTTTCACACACGCATCGTTCCTCTTGCATCTTTGTGCTCCCATCTCTCCTCACCCATCGGCACCATCTGGAGTCGCTTCATAGCTGTGCGCGGCTGCTGTAAGTGATTTGTCTTCTCAGCAGCAGACTCCATCCAAACCAGACTTCATCTGTCTCATGTGTTCATGTTGTCTCTATATGTGTCCTCCAGTTTCTTTCAAGAGCTCTCTCTCCTTCTGTGTGTCTGGCTGTTTCATTTTTATTTTAAACTTTGTAGCTATGTTGAATTTCAAAGCAGTCTGGACTACAGTTGACTAGCAGAAAAAAAAAATCTTCCCTGCAGATGGATCTGGTATTTATTTTCAAGACTTGAGGAAAGCTGATGCCACTAGCTTCATTAAGTGAAACCAACTATGTTATCTCAGAAGGGAAAGCAAAATACTTCTATGGAATTCTTTCTATAAACTTAAATGCTTTAGATCCTGCTAATACTGTTAAAAGCTTTTATTTGCATTTATATACTTAATGAGTAAGTATTCAGAAGCATTAAAGTGTTGTGTTACCAAAAAATCCAATAGGCAGAGATGCAACACAGTAGGCAGCAATGTGAGCCCATTAGAAAGGGGTAGTAGAACTTTGAACTGCTAATGTGACTAGAAATTTCTAAAAATATGCCAAGCAAATGGTGAAAAGCTGTTTGTTATAGCAAAAGAATCATTTAGCTGCTTTTGATTCAAAAGTGAAGGTTTCAGTTGCTTAAAACAGTTGAATACCCATCTTTCCAAGCCAGCCCTTGGGTATTGCCCTCGGCATATGAATCAGCTCGTATAGGGGACCAAGGTGAACAAGTAGTTATTTCTGGTGCATACATATGTGCTTATTTGTTTGACCTGTTCTTCCACCATTCTCTTTGACATTAAATAGAGGTCAAAAGACTGATCGGAAACTGCTTTTTACCCTTTTATTTAAGGCAACTAGCAATCTTTGGGGTCTTAAGATAATTATTTACTGCTGTCAGAGTAATGAGTTCAGATTTTCCATGGAATGAGGCCCCTTAGTGCCTAAGCCTCCTTCTCTTCTCCCACCTTCATCTCTTAGTACCAGACACAAAAGCACCTGCTGCAGAGCAGGGAATGCTCTGGATCTGCTGCCACGGGAATGTGTGACCTGCAGCATCCCCGCTCTGAGGGGGACTCCCTTCTTGCTGGCTGCTCCTCTACACACGCCCGGCTCTAGCTTTAACCACCCTCACTGGATTTCTATAGGTCTGCCCTTCTGAAGGAAGGTAGAAGACTGCATTGTTGATAAACACTATCATGGTAAAATTCATAAAAGCAGAAAAATACACGGCATTGAAAGATCCGTTGCATTAACTAAGCATTATCAGAATAAAATATCTGATCGTATATGTTTCATTTTAAACCTAAATGTCTAAACTTAGGCAATACAGCTTGTGCAAAGAAATCAATCCAAGTTTGCTCAAAATACTCTGAATTTCACTCTGCTTTTTAAATATTCACCCTTTCTGGTGCTACTTATTGAACTTTTTTCTATTTTTGCTTATGTATCTTTTAAAGTGATATAAATCACTTTGGGAGCAAGTATTAAAATGGGTAATGTATTTCCCTGCCCAAGAAAACTGACTTTTCTTCTTTTCTTTCCCCAGTACGTGCGTGGCTCTGACCCTGTACTAAAGCTGCTGGACGACAGTGGGAACATTGCTGAAGAATTGAGCATCCTCAAGTGGAACACAGATAGCGTGGAGGAATTTCTAAGTGAAAAACTAGAACGTCTATAAAGTTGTTTTCAGTTCTCTTCCCTTTTTATGTTTTGTAATAGTAATCTTCTCAGATGAAGTTTGCTCCAAATGAAAAACCATTCCAGCTTCTGTATTATTTTTCTTAAATATGTATTTTGCTGTACTAAATGCCTCTTAATTAGAAGGGGAAGCTTCAGCACACGCATCTGACAAGCTGACAAACAGAATAGTTCGTCTTAATATATTTCAGCTCTTAGTGCATTTATCACTAATGAAATGCTTTGTTACAAACTTAATTATGCAAACATCAATTCGCTATAATTTGACCTGCTTTTATGAACACTCTTAAAACTAAAAAGCTTCAAATATCTGAAAAGATTACCATGCTTTTTGTATGCTGCTCTGTAAAAACAGCAGAGCCAAATGCAATGTACTGTCTCCAGCAGTCCAAGAGGACAGCTAGTGTCCTCTTCTATGTTGTAGTTGAACTGTCTTTTTTATAGAAGAGTTGTTTACAATAAGCGTCTAGTTCACAAATTTTGAAGCAGATGGAGGAACTCATGCTCTGGTAATAGTGAAACATTTAGTAAGTACACTTTAGTGAAGACTCCATAGAAAACCTCTGTGGTGTATGCAAGTCTGATGTCTGGTGTGCTTTACATGAAATGTTTTGCTTCGGAAAGCATGAGACAGAAGGAAAGGCTTTTCAAGACTATTATAAATTTTCAGAAGTTTATCAAGTGAATTTATAACCGGTTCTTTTAAAATGCATGTTTTTCTTTTACAGTTAAAGTCTATGTGAATAAAGGGAATATAGACAGTAAGTAATGAGTCCAATCAATTATAACTTGTCAGATTTTCTTCCCCACTGAATGAATGAATGAATAAATATGGTAAGCAAGATTAATGTGGTTTCTTGAAGTCGGACGAGCAAGTGGAGGTCTTTCAACTATTTCATGCTCATCAGCATTTGGTTGGATGGCTATTATAGCAGGGTCTGAATTGTTATGTGTTGTTTTGTTTTGTCTTTCTTCCTTTTTATATACTTTTATACCTCAAGACTTATACTTGCTCTTCAATTTACAGATTTATTCCAAACTTCTAGCAAATTCATCAGTTTTAGTCATTACAGACAGAAACCAGGGGACTGATAACAGACTAACATACCAAAAGTAGATACCCTAACAGTGATCCTCTAGGTTTAGCTTTCAGAGTTTTTTTTTTTCTGAAACACTTAATAAACTGCTAGGAAAAAGGGCACAAAGAGCTCCTATGTTCTCCTGCTTGGTCAGTCTCTCCCTTTTATTGCGTGCCTGCCCTTCCCTCTCTGTATAAAACATGATTTTTATTTTCCAACTCACTCAGTGTGGGGCAGCTGCAGTCTTGGTCACCACTGTCTTGGCAAAAGATAAATACAAACTGCACACAAAAAGCAAACAGCTTGTGCTAACTGGCCAATCTAAAGTGGATTTGTTTCTGGGTCATGCAATATACTAGTCAGCAGAGGAGTTATGAACAAACGGTGGCATGATAACCCTGTATTTTGTTAGTAAAAGCGTGCTGCCATCCACTGGTCTTTTAAGTATATGACTATATTCCCTACTTTGGTGTCTTACATTTGCCTATACCAAGATTTCTGTTTCTCTCTTGATAATTTATCATGCAGTTTAGCAGAATACTTGTAGTTTCATACTTCTCTCCATGCCCTCCAGCCTCAGATCTCTTTTGTTGTTCACTAGAGGGAGTGTTTACTTAATGTGCTAATAACCAAATATTTGTCTTTGCTTTGATTTAGAAAGGCACTATTTCCTACTTTCTGACTGTATTTCCTACCTCGTTATTCCTGACATGACGAGTGGGTTGCTCACTTTCAAGTCAGCCTCTTCTTTCCTTATTTTCCTGCTCCTAGTGCAGGAGCCTGCACACATTTCATCCTCTAGCACCTGCTCTTGCTATTGCTGTTCTTGTTAGCCTTATGAAGCAAGGAAGTCATTCTTGTACCAGAAGATATTCATGGAGGAAGATGACAGGCCACAGAGGCCACAGAACTACTCCTCTCATTCATGGAGGAAGATGACAGGCCACAGAACTACTCCTCTCGTGGGACTAAGTTTCATGCCAATAGGCCTGTTTTGAAGTTCCTGCAGCCTCTTATCTTTCTCTGCACCAGTTCTCACCAGGTTTCCTTGAAGAGCCTGGTAATGATTTTTTTTTCCTCTAGAGCCTTGCTCCTAGATCTCCATTTGCTGATTATTACTCCATATGCTGATCTTCCCTCATAACCCAGACTTTTAAGCTCTTATCTTAAGAGTACACGTAAAGTACATTCCTGCCTCTTGCTTGTATTCTGCTTTATCTACTCTGCATTTAACCTACCTGGAGATCTTCTGTTCCTGAGCTATTGACTCTGAACCTACATGTTCTGCTTGCTTCTAGGAAAAGCTTAGTTACCTTCTGGACCTGCTGCCTGCACACCATGGTGCTCGTGAAGTCTTCCTTCCACTTTCCACACTGTCCTTGCTTTGTTCCTTTTCAGTCTGCCCTGTGGTTTGGATGATACTTGTGTCCTCAGCTCTAGAGACAAATGCCAGCACCCTTTAGCATTTGGGCAAAAGGAGCTGGCCCCTGTGTTAAGAGGGAGAGTGGGAATGGAGAAGCAGGTCTGGTAGAAATTCTTTATGAGGTTGTTGTACCCTGATCAGGGTGTTATACCCTGATAAAATACCACCCGATAAAACACCACCCCCCTGGAGTCACCAGCTGTGAAAATGCAGAGAGCTCCCAAGTTCAGTTCCAGTTGTGGCCATTAACTATAGAATATACAAGGTTTAAAGCTCCTTTTAAAAAGGAAGTGATTCACTTGTAGCCCTAATAAGCACCCAGTACTTCATGAAAGGCATTCACTCATTTATGCAAGAATGACTTAGTCCTACATAATGCTGCTCTTGTGCTAGATCTTGAGAAAGTTAATGAAAGGGAGGATAGAAGCGGCAAGGGTGCATGACCGAGCTGAAACATTAAGTGTCCGTCTATCCAGCTGCTCTTGCTGCAGAGGGTGGTGGCACTGTTAAAACCAAAGTGTTGCCCAGTCTATTTTCTGTATGTGCATGAAGTTGAAGTCTGGTGTACAAGCTAATTGAAGGGGTTTCCTGGGCACCCGGTTCCTATTGCGTACTCACAGACTGCTGAACTGTGAACCAGTACAAAGTGTTTGGTGTGGGCAGTCATACACTAGTCTGCCCTGAAAAATCCCTCAAAAAATCATAGAAAAGATGAGAAAAAAATCAAGTTTCATATTTTCATAGACATTTAACAGTATTTTACATTTAGTAGTAACAAGGGCATGAATTGTGGGCAGCAGAACAATGACAATTGAGCAGGAACATGGATGAGGATTGTTTACTAAAAAAAAATGGATACTACCAAGCTATTTTCCTTAAATATCTCATTTTTTGATCCCACAGAAAAGATCTGCACTCAAAACAGACTGTCAATCTCTTTCTTTAAAAACCATGGTTAACAATGAATGATACAGGCTTTCAAACAAGTAACTCTTCTAAAGAAAAGTAGTTACAAGCTCATGGAACAGGAGAAATATATTTATGGGGAAAAATTATGATAAATACTATATATATATTAACAAACTAGCAGAAACAAACTGCAGAAACTTTTGTTTTGTTTTGTTTGCTTTAAG